ATCAAGATATAGAACGTTTTCATCATTGCAGAAAGTCCCCCTGAGAGCCTTTGAAAATCAAGCCCCTGGTCTGTTTTCCGTCTCTATGGTTTTGCCTCTTCCAGAATGTCATATAAGTGAAATCACATGGCGCGTAGCCTTCTGAGTAGGGCTTCTTTCACTGAGCGTAATGCATTTGAGATTCATCCAGGCTGTACCTACCAGCGGGTTGTTTCTTTTGATTGCTGAGTAGTATTCCACTGTGTGGACAGATCATAGTTTGTTGGTGTATTCCTTAGTTGAGGAACATCTGGGTTGCTTTCTTTCGTGTCCTTTTGATCTTGTCTTTTGTGGAACATTTTATTGGTGGGGATTACAAAAAAAGTAAGCCCAGCCGGACTTTGGTAATTCCTCTCCTCCTCGAGAGATCTAAGTTAGCTTTCCAGGTCTGTTTCTTCATGTAATATCTTCCTCCCAAACTTAGTGTAAATAACTAATTGTATGACTTACAAAGAGACTTTGTTTTCTGTTTTGTTTTCTTGTATAATAGCTTCATTGAGAGATAATTCACATACCATACAGTTCGCCCTTTTAAAGTGAACAACTCAATGGCTTATTAGGATATTGACAGAGCTCTGCACCCAACACCTGAGTCAACTTTTGGACATTTTTATTACTGGAATTTTTAAGAGCCCACACCCCTTATCTGTCACCTCCAGTCCTAATCTATGTTCAATAACTATAGATTTATCAATTCTGGACATTTCATAAAAATGGAATCCTACAACATGTGGTCTTTGGTGTCAGGCTTCTTCCATTTAGTGTAATGTTTGCAAGTTTCATCCACATTGTAGCACGTATCTGCACTTCCTTCTTTTTTATTGCTGAATGATATTCCATTCTGTGGATGTATCACTGATTTATCCATTCATCTGTTGAGGGACATTTGGATCGTTTCCACTTTGAGGCTATTATGAATCATGCTGCTATGAACATTCATGCACAAGTTTTTGAGTGGTTATGTGTTTCCACTATGTAACTAGGAGTAAAACTGCTGGATTATATGGTAACTCTATGTGTAATCCTTTGAGGGACTGCCAAACTGTTCTCTAAAATGGCTGCGCCATTATATTGATATATTCCACAAAGGTACTTTCAAAGTGTACAAGTATAATGCAAATGGTTACAATTTAATATTACTCATTGAAATGGCAAGGATAACATTTGATCATTGTAATAATTTAGATTGTACTACAGTGCCTAAAGTAACCCAACCCCTCCTGTCCCACTGAACCCCACAGAGAAAGAAGCACTGTAAACCATTTGGTATGTAGTCGTCATCCTTCCTTTTTCCTTCGATCAACACACATATACAAAATTTATATATTGATACTTTGGCTAAAATGAAAATGCATTCTTACTAGACATGACTCTTTCTTTTGTAAACTGTGGTAAAATAAATACAACATAAAATTTACCATTTTAACCATTTTTTACAGTTCGGTGGCATTAAGTACGTTCACATAGCTGTGCAACCATCACCACCAACCATCACAGAACTTTTTTCATCTTGCAAAACTGAAACTCTGTACCTCTTAAATCATCACTCCAATTCCCCCTCCTCCAAGACCCTGGCAACAACCATTCTACTTCCTGTCTCTATGAATTTAATTACTCTAAATACCTCATATGAGTGGAATCAGACAGTATTTGTCCTTTTATGACTGGCTTACTTCACTTAGCATTGTGTCTTCAAGATTCATCCATGTTGCTGCATATGTCCGCATTTCCTTCCTTTTTAATAATCTCTATCTATCTATCTATCTACCTACCTACCTATCCAGTCGCCCTCAGTATCTGTGAGGGATTGGTTCCAATACCCCCAAAGATACAAAATCCAAAGGTGCTGAAGTCTTTTATAAAAATCGCGTAGTGTTTGTAGATAACCTATACACATCCTCCCGTATACTTTAAATCATCTCTAGATTACTTATAACACTCAACACAATGTAAATGTTACGTAAATAGTTGTAAATACAATGTAAATGCTATATAAGTAGCTGCAGGTACGTGGCAAATTCAAGTTTCGCTTTTTGGAACTTTCTGGAATTTTTTTTCGAATATTTTCGATCTACAGTTGGTTGATACGGAGGGCTGCCTAGACACACTGTGTTTATCCGTTCTTCTGTGGATGTTTCCACCTTTTCGCTGTTGTGAATAATGCTGCTGTGAACACAGGTGTACAAATATCTCTTCGTGTTCCTGCTTTCAATTATTTTGAGTATGTACTCTCTAACTCCCTTTTTTAAAAAATTTAACTTTTTGTTGAAGTTTATGTCACTTAAGAAAACCTTGGTGGTGTACTAATGTGGTTCTCCCACATTCTAAACCACCTTCATACTTTAAGTCACTCAGTTTTCATCTATGGTGTGGGTGCCCTACCACCTACTTTGCCATTGCCCGCTCATGAGAAACTGAATAGCCATTACTACGGGGTGTTTCCCATGGGCTGGTCGTAGAACACAGTTCTTCACATACGTTGGCTGATGGGACCCTTACAACAATTCTTGGAGATGGGTATAATTATTAGCCCCATTTAAGAGGCAAAGAAACTGAGGATAGAGAGCCCAAGGCCATTCTGCTAGTGAGGACTGAAGTCAGAAATCAAAGTCTGTCTGACTCCCAAGCTTAACTTCAGCATCATATCTAATGACATTACTGATGGTCTCTTTTGGCTGGCCCTGGAGTGGCCTGAACATATGTGGACGCTCACATTCCGGGAGCCATGGGGCTGATTCCCCAACGAGAACAGATCTGCCTTTTACAGTGAGTGTTCTTTCTCAGAAGCCAGGCTTCACGTAGCCTCAGAAAACCAGAGCAGGTTCCCAGCTCCCTAAGAGAGCCATCAGACCATGTTTCCTCCCCTCTGCTTCCTTTCCTATTTCTCTTGATCTCTTACTTGCCCAATTCTGCCTTTACCCCGACCCCACCCCTACACTGTCCTCCAGACTATCCAGGTTCAGGTGACAGAAACCCAGCTCAAATTAGCTTTACACAAACAAAATGAATGTTTTGGCTCATTTAACTGGAAACGTAAGGGTGCATCTGGCCTCAATCATGATTGGATCCAGGGTCTCAAATGATGTCATTAGGCTCTTTCTCCATTTCTCAGCTCTGCTTCTCTCTGTACGTTGATCAGTTCTTTCCTGCAGTGGACAGGATTTCTCCACGAAGTAGGAAAGATACTCCCAAGACCCCAAAACTACAGTGTCAAAGCTCAGCTATCCCACCAGAAGGAGGGCCAGTTTCCTTCTCCCAGCATCCATAGACCAGTCTCAGGGAAGGACTCCAATTGGCCATGCTTGGGCCATATGCTAATTCCTTAACCAATCGTGTGGCCAGGAAGAGGCCGTATTAGGACTGCTGCAGACTCAATGGCACAGGAGGCAGTTTGTGTTATCAAAGAGACAGGAGGAAAAAGCATGTGTGCTCAGCAGACAGAAACAATAACCATCATTCACTTTGTCTGCCTTGGTCAAATGGCTCCTCCAAGCAGCAACAGACTCCCCACATGTGGCTACTGCTGTTACTGCCACCCCTGACACTCAACCCCGCCATCACCGGAGAGTGAATGGAGCCAGAGCACGTGCCTTAGGAAGAATGCAAACCTCACGTCTGTGGAGATCTCCAACCCACCCAGCCCTGTTTCCCCTGCTGGAGGAGACACTGCACTATCTAAACATTTTCATCATCTGCTGCTTCTTCCAACTCACTTCCCGGGCTTAGCTCATCTTTCAGAGGCCTCGTCTCTCCCCCGCTCTAAGGTGCAAGAACATGAGGCACCCAGATGTCCCGGCTGTTTACACTGCACGGAGCACGGGGCCGTGCGTGTGGCTCCCCGCTCATCCCCGAGTTCTTTCTCCCCACGGTCCTAGGCTCTGCCAATCTCTACAAGCCAAATGGTCACGGACAAGCGTGGTCATTACGCTGCCTCCTCCCCTTGACTCGCTGCAGACCTGACCAGATGAAATATTTGGCTTTCTCGTCATAAGGAGGCCCAATGTTTCTTTGCCATTTGATTGACTGTCAAATGAAAGACAGGCCCTTTTGTTTGGTGTGGGGTTCGTCTGTTTGTTTGTTTTTCTCCAGCATGTCATGATTCATTCATCCCTGGCCTGACTCCACGGACAAGCTACACTACTTGGCACTATCCTCCTCCTCTCCTTTGTCTCCCTTTCCTTCTTGTACCCTAGGCCCACCTTGAGGAAAAGGTTCTCTTCCCTCTGACGTCACTGAATGCTCTTGCTGTAGGTGAACTTGGACCAACATTTCAAACTGCCAGAGACGAGGGCTTTGGGAGATAAGATTTGTTTAAAATAGTTGCATGCTCCTGAACCGTCTGCCCGTGCCAAAGTGAGAAATAAATCACGAAATATAAACCAGACAAACAGAACCACAAAACTTTCATTTTCAACTGACTTACAAGCTAAAGAAGCTGGAGCAGAATGAGCGACGGACGTGATTGTCATTCTAACTAACTTGGTCCGAGTAAGACTTTATCTTATCAAAGCACTTCCCTATCTACCAACTCATTCCATTTTCTACAGCCATACCAAAGGGAAGTAGGCTAGGGGTTGTTCTTATTTCCATTTTGCAAGTGAAGTAATGGCAGATCCATGTCTCGGGGTGGGCCTCTTCAGGGAGCCTTCTGGAAGGAAATCCCTAGTGTGCTCCCTGAGAAGCTGAGTCAGGAAATGGAAGATCAGGCATGAAGTCGGCATCGGAGAAGACGAGCACTCAGGCTTGTCACTTTACCTTTCTCCCCTGCACACGTTCCCAGGGCACCGTACAAGGTCCGCTGAAACAGGCCAATCCTTTAAAGATCCTAGCCTAGAAGCCAACTAAGCAGATAGTATAGCCCCATTTTACAGCTGAATAAACTGAAACAGGAAGGGTCACTCAGTGCCTGGGCGAAATCACACAAAGAGCCGGCCAAGAAAGAAACAGAAACAAATTCTTACCCCGACACGGCATGTTATTCTACTTTGTCACTGGAGTAGAGGAGCATTTTCCATTTGCACGCGTGACAAGAATGTGACTCCCGTGAAGAAGGAACAAGAATCGCACATTCCCTGTCCCACAGTCTCTCCGGAAAGCTAAGAACATAAATATACAGATTACTGTTTATACGCTAGGGTTGTGGGCTTGGACTGAGAAATTCACAAAATCTATTCTTTGTACTCTGAGCTTTGGATTTTTTACTTCCTTTGAGTTGACAGGGAAATGAATGCAGTTCTTTCAGTGGACCCTCACAGTTACGGGTCATTCTGAATGGGCACCATAGGGATAAGAAAACAGAGCGGTGGCGAAAGAACAAAGATTCTTCAGGGTGATGCAAAAGATAGGGCCCACGTGTAGGTAACTAAAGAGGAAGAAGTGTAATTAACAGTTAGTCATCCATTCGATCATTCATTCAATAACCATCCATTACAATTCTCAAACGACCTTGAAGTTCTTGTGGGAGGTAAATGAGAACGCTTACGTGTATGAGGAGTCCAGGGTGACGCCCACGACACGGTGGGCCTCCAGTCGATGCTGGGTCCCTTTGTGCCCAGTGTCCCAGCTCTGTGCTCTCTTGAGCAAGCACCTAGAAAGAAGAATGAAAGTGGTGTCTTTGTATGTGAAGACTGGAGATGGTCCAGAAGCAGGGGGAAGAGTGGGAGATAAATGTGGTCACGAGAGAGAGGCTGGGCTGGGCAGGGCTCTCCTGCATGCCAGCTCCTCAGGAATCTCAGACACTGGTTGCTATGGAATTTCCAACAATTCCTAGAACACACTCCCACAGCTGGGCAAGTTTAGAGTTTAAATAACCTCACGGTCAAGGGAGACCCTCAGATGTAACAGAAGGTATACTGGGCCTTGAACAAGCTCCTTAACCCCTCTGGTCCTGTTTTCTCATTTGCAAAGCAAAGGGGGAAGGACTACGTGCTTCCTAAGGACGTATTGGGCTCAGCATGACTATGAGTTAAGGTTTCCTTCATGTAGAGCCAATATCTTCACTGTAAATTTCAACTCACTTCCTTTTATGAAATCAGCTAACTCTAGTCTTCCTAACATAATACAAAGATCACTGGGCTGGGTAGACCAAGATCCGTGGGCAGGGACCCAACCTCAACAGGACCAGCTGGCTCTAGCCACTCCCACTCCCGTGGCCACATCTGCTTCCAGGAGCCTGCTCAAGTTTGGGGAGCATCCTGTCCCATCCACCAGAGAGATCTGTCGAGGGCAAATGCCTCAAGTTCTCAGGAAGCACACTAGGGATTTTGTTCCAAAAGGATTGCTATAAAGGCCACCCTGAGAAATGGAACCTACAGAAACGGTCATGCGGGAACCCCTCACCGTGGGTTCCAGGGACCACCGTCTCCTCTGGTACAGACTAATCAAGATTTCAGAAAGGACTTCTGTGTCTAACCCTGTGCTGCAGAACCTCACCACATCCCCATTGTGTGGCCGAGGCAACTTTGCTTCTGTGAGATTAAAACATCTCCCCAGGGGCTGACAGTGGGTGAGGGGTGAACCACAATTCCAACCCAGGTCTGTGTGAACCAAAAGACTACTGTGAGCTCTCTAACTAAAGAGACATCATAGAGAGCCCCGATGGGGACCTCAGAGGACAGCGTAAAGGGGCAGGACAGAGGGGAAGCCCTAGAAGAGGAGGCTGGACAAGCAGAACTGCACGCAGACCTTAAGGTGTGGGGGGCACTGCCACCTGGGGGAGGACGTTGCCTCCTGGCCATGTCCTGCTTCCCCAAGAGACCACCACCCACCAGCCCAGCACAGACCAGGGTGCCTTAAAGGCTGGGGCCTGGGACATCAGCCCCAGTTCCTAAATCTAGGGGTGGCCACTGTTGTCCTTGTTCAGAATGTGCCTTGTACGAGCACATTCAGCGGAGAGAGGGGGTGCTTCGCCCATAAAGCCATGTGCCCATCGGGCAGAGTCTGCCTTCAGGGGGTGACTTCCTAATTCACGCAAAGGCGCTGAGCCCCACTTTAAGCGGCCCCCCTTCTGGTGCTCTACACTCATCTATTCCAGGAATATCTGCTTCCGGCCAGGTCATGCAATTGTGCGAAGAAGAGGGAGACACAGTCCCTGCTGTCGAGGAGCTGAAGGTCTAGAGCAGAAGGCTGGCACACGGACCGTGGAAAAGCAGGGGCTCGGGGCACAGGGAGGCGAGGGGCCACTCATCTGAATTCTGGAGTCTCTCGTGGCTAATCACTCTCTGTTATGTTCTCCTCCTCTCTCCCCCTTCTCTGGCAAATCAGAATTCAGGTAGGGGGACCCCCGGCCCCCATCTCCCCAGCTGCTCTCCCGTTCATGTGATCCCCAGCTTAGTGTGACCTGGGCTGGCCACCCTTCACTCCCAGGTGTAGTCAAAAGGTCCTTTGTCTCCAGGGAACCTGGGAAATTCCTTCCTTTCTCCCAGCTCGGGGACCGCCAGTCTTAATAGGTTCAGTATTTGATTGTCAACAGATGGAAGGTCAATTCTGTAAAAACAAGGACTTTGGGTCTGAATTGTTGTTTCTTTAAGTCCCTCCAAACTCTCCGCGGGATCTCGGGCCAAGATGTTAGGCTGAACCTAAAATCAATCGGGCCCCAGGCTACAGAAAAAGTGGCTCAAAACACAAAACGTGCTCTCAAAACACGGCGCCAAGCTTCCTTCTCCAGAGCACAGACGCTCTGTGTCTCTGAGCAGTTTAAGGAACAGCACAGACATCGGTCTGAAGGGACCGATCCTTTTAAGGATCCTCGAAGATGACAACAGTAACAAAGGGGCATCTCACTTAGCATGTTCAGGCTGCCATCTATTGAAACCCGTCTTCCAGAAATCTTCCTCATTTATGGAGCCTGGCTGTGACCACATCGGCCTCACCCTCCCCTTGCTTAATGTGTCACAGAACGGAAGCTGGGGACTTCAGAGAGAGAGAGAGAGAGAGAACCAGGGGCTCATGTGGAGCATGGAAACAGGATTCTTTCGGGGTGGCCTTTCCAGAAAGCCACCAAGCAAGAAGAATGAGCCCACCGCCTTCCTGTCAAGCAATAGCAGACCAAGGTCTGCCAGGGCCGTGCTGGGGACATGTGCGGACCCCCATGATCAGAGGCCCCGAGTGGACCAGGGGCTGGAGTCAAGACTGTTGTGGACTCAGTAAGAGACGATTTCTCACTAAGAGGGAGTGAAATCCTGCTGTCCCCGGTGCCACCTAACCTAGCCCCCAAAATTCCAGTTGTGAAAATAAAGTCAGCCAAAAGAGCCATTCTCCCTGTGCTGCTAGAAATGACAGGTCACTTTGGATAAAAAAAGAAGCAGTCACTGTGAACATGCTAACAGCTTAGCTCCTAAAAGCCACACTCCCTTCTCCTGGGGAGAACGCTGGGGCTTCGAGCAAGGACCCCCAGCCTCAGCTCAGTGCCTGCTTCTGGCACGAGGGCAGAGTAGCCAAGGGCAGACAGCAGAGAAGATAAACGTCCATGGTAGGGAGGCTTCGTCATATAAAACGCAAGTGCATGGCTATAAATAGCATACTGGGATATATGCAAATCATAGGCCAAGCCACCTGAGAGTTCTCACTCTGTTCACTATTTCATGAGCACCGAACAACCTACTTGCTTCGTGAGGTAGAAATATTGATAACAGCTAACGTTTATTGAGCACGTACTACATGCTCAAACTGGAAAACCAGGGTGCTCAGGGAAAGCTTCAGACAGGAGGCTTTGCAAGAGAGTTGGAAATGGAGTGGAAATGGCCCTCCTGGCAAGGAAGGCTGGGAACAAAGGCCCAGCGGCGGGAAGGGAGTCCGAAGCAGGACTCCAACAAGACCTTTGTGAGGTCGCGGCCTCCCCCGGAAGGCCCGCACTTCTCACCGAGGAAAGGCAAGTGTGAGCAGTTGCTTCCTTGCCCCGGTCTCTTTGTGGGGCTATTGAGCCGAGGACCGAGCAAGACAGAAAGGTTTTGACAGTTTCATTTTATTTTATCCTAAACAAGAGATAATATGAAATAGACACCTGGGAGTGTTTTGAATTAACAACCCAAACCCAACGAGCAGCTGCATCCCAGAGAGCGGGGAAAAGTTTCCTGCCTTGGCCGTATTTCCTTTCAGCAACATTACATTAACACTTATGAAATACAGCCGAGAAGTCAGGCAGTATTTAAGGGGAAGAGAAAGGTACTTCCATACTCTGTACTGAACGCGCTGCCAACTAATTGGCCACGTAAGCTGGGTTTTCAACTCATCTGCAGAAGTCTCGAGGTTAATGAAACCATTACATATGCAAGGACGGTACGGAAGGAGGGGGAAACAGGGAAGAAATAATTGACAAGGCTCTCCATCTACCTTTGCGGTGTGGGCTATTCTTACCTGACAGTACTTATCAAAGTCTGCGATGTGGGCGGAATGGGTCTCTCTGGGTGTGTGTGCGTGTGTGTGTGTGTGTGTGTGTGTGCGTGTGTGCGTGCGTGCGTGTGTGTGTGTGTGTGTGTGTGTGTGTGTGTGTGTGTACAACCACGCTAATGAGGACAATTCTCTTTCTCCATCTGGAATCCATTAGTCGTGATTATGGTGACGGCCTCTCCTTCCCTTCTCACTATCAGAATTAGCTAACCCCATTACTACCCAGGCCACCTTTCTCAATCTGCTCCACAGAGCGTAGGAGACCGCTTCCTGTCATCTAAGCCGTCTCCCTGTTTCCCACTCCGGAGCCGTTGTAAATTCCCTCACCCCATCTCAATTACAAGAGCCCTAATAGGCCCTCTCGTCCCAAGTGACAGGCCTCTGCAGGTGTTTAGGAGGTGGGGGGGGGGGGGGGGGGGGGGGGAAAGCCGGCTGATCTGCGCGCTCGCGAGCCTTACCCGGGCTCCTCCGTGCTCACGGCACCGGGCCTGCGTCTTGCAGGTGTTTGGCAATCATCTCGGCCCAGTTACCTCACCGTTTCTTGGGGTGGCTGGAAAAAATAAATAAGGCACGTTAAAAAGGTTGTTATGACAAAATAGGAAAAGCCTAACAGACAGGCAGGACCCCAAGTGGAAGGCTTGATTCCTTTAATCAATCCTGTGGCTTTGAGAACAGGACCTGCCCCAGCTGATCCCCAAGAAGGGAGCAGGGAGACGATTTAGGGGTGCTCTCCGATGAAAGCACAGATGAAGTTAGCAAGACTCTTGGACTTTGGGCTTCCCTCCTCCCCCTTCTTCCCAAAGGACATTACTTCCCGGCCACCCCACCGCACCCTCACCAGTAGGCCGCGGCAGCAGGCAGGGACTTGTAAAACAGTGCGAGAATTTGATATTTCCCAAAAGGTCATCAAAGGAGTCACTATGAGCAAAGAGTTGGATTATCCGGCCCTTATTTCATGGTTTAATGCAGTTTTTATTTGTTGGGAGTGTAGTTGGAGGCGGGCACCATGTTTTCAGGACTCAATTCCTCTGTGACCGAGTGTCCCCTTTGTGTGCCTGAGTTATAGCGGTGTCCCCAGCATGGTAGCTATTGTACTATCTTCATGTGCGTCAGGACGTGAAAAAGGTTGGGGAGCACTGCCCTAAAGGTCTCCTTTCTTCCTGTTCTACATGTTCCCTCATCCCTTCTTTTCACGCTTAGACAAAGCTGTAAGGTCCCTTACCTTGGCCAACAATGTCCTCCGCTGACCACTGAGGCCAGTGAGGCCCCTAGGGTCTCATGACTTACCTGATGTCACACAGCCCTGGGGTTGGGGGCAGAGCTCAGATTAGAACTCAGGCCTCCTGGCTCCGCACTGAGGTCTCCTCCAACATCTTTCTGACTTGAAGCAGCCATTTCCCCGGCTTCCTGCACCTTAGAACTCGTTCTCACCCCCTCCTGGTCTCATTTCTCTCTCCCCTGCTGACCAGCAGGTGCTGATCTGAACTTCCAGGCTACCAATCTGAACATCATCAGAAGCATCAGGAATACATCCCCGTAGGAGAACCTACAGCTTTCATGCATCCGAAACCAGAGGGGAGGGTGGGACCATGGGACCGCTTCTGCGTTCATCTGCCACTCTTAGCTTTAGTTAGAAAAGGACGGCAAGGCATCCTCAGGGGGGCCAGCTTGGGCTAACCTTCTGTATCACAGGCAGGTGCAGACACCACCTGCCATAGTCGGCTTTGGTTCCTGTGGACTAGGGGAAAGCTTGTCCTGAGTGTTAATCCCCTTTCACAGCCCACTGGTGCCAGGATCGACAAGGTACCCAAGACTTATCAGTTCAGAGTGGGCAGGGTTCAATGTGGGCAGTCTGGGGGGACCCTGTGGTGCCACAAATATCCCTTTTCCAAGCAAATTCCAAAGTCTGGAATTTGGGAAACACGGGAACTTCGGTAAAGATGAGAAAACTATACAACTCTTGTGACACCCTGCTTGACCCCGCTTAAAACTCCATCTAAGCATCTGTCCCTGTGTTTCGAGATGCGAGGGTTATTTTTGGCACTGTCTACGTGACTGTTCACCCCTCTGCAAATAAAGAATTTTCCCACCCCAGTTAGGGATGGCTTAATTCTGATTAGTGTCCAAGGCGGATCAGGAGATGATAGATGTGTTCTAATTCTTCATCAGGGAGGGGGCAGGATGATTCTAAATGCTTGTTCCTCCAGGTTGACAGAATTAGTATTTCTCATATAAGCTGTCATGTCCACACCTCAGGAAACTGGTATGATGCATAATTTCATTCAAACTATAGCTGACAACCATTTGGAGATCGGGTGGCAAATGAGAAGTTGACTATCATTGACAATGATAAGACAACTATCATGAGTTGTCTAAAGAAGTTCAAGCTATTTTAAAAGAAATCAGTAGTGGTGGCAACAAGGAAGCTGGGAAGTGGGTGCTCTCCCACGCTGTTGGTGGAAATGAAGATGGAAATGAGCTTTCTGAATGGCAATTGGACAAATACGTGCCAAAGACCGTACAGTTGAGCATATACTGTTTGACTCAGCAATTCTAAGAATTTTACCCCAAGGAAATAATCAGAAATGTGTACAAGGATCTACATATATGAATTTTCGTTACAGCAATTCTGTATCGTAGGAAAAAATACAAATAACTTAAACCCTAATAATAGGAATTCACCTTTAAAAAATAGTGAAACATTGCAATAGAGCCATTGAAAATAGGGGATTAAAAATTAAGATGAGAAATTTCATAATATAATTATAAGTAAAAAGGAAGTCAGGCTACAAAACAACTTCTCCAGTATTATTTCATGTTTATAAAAATCTTTGTGGGGCTTCCCTGGTGGCGCAGTGGTTGAGAGTCCGCCTGCCGATGCGGGGGACGCGGGTTCGTGCCCCGGTCCGGGAAGATCCCACATGCCGCGGAGCGGCTGGGCCCATGAGCCATGGCTGCTGAGCCTGCGCGTCTGGAGCCTGTGCTCTGCAACGGGAGAGACCACAACAGTGAGAGGCCCATGTAACAGCAAAAAACAAAAAAATCTTTGTGTGTGTGTGTGTGTGTTGATATGTATAGCTGATTCACTTTGTTATAAAGCAGAAACTGACACACCATTGTAAAGCTACTATACTCCAATAAAGATGTTAAAAAAAACACATATATTTGAAGGCTATACTCAAATTTTTTCACAATGACTATGCATTGCTTTTATAATCAGAAATGAAACTTTTAAAGAAAAGAAATCAATTCCTTCAGCTATGAAATAGAGAGATAATGGAGTAAATAGTACCTTTTCTTGTTATAATATAATCATCTCAGCCCTACTCTCGGCTCTCAAACAAAATTTTTCTTAAGTATCAGATGTGGTCCAATCAATACCCCAAATCAACTAAATTCATCCAAGACATGAACTTAGTTTGATCACATACACATTGTACTGTGTAATTTTATGAGTACAGTGGAATAGTCTTCATTCTCTTCCCTCGTGAGAAAATACATGTATCTGCACATCTGATGTTTGGGACTGATACTGCCCTGAAACCTAAAGGACTGGGGCTCTCCCTACCAACACAGCTGCCATCTCTTCCCTCCTGTAGAGCATATTGCTGGATCGACCAAGGCAGAACTTTTCCATGAATGGCCTCATAGTACACTTCTAAATGACCTGACATCTGAAGCCAGAGAGGTCCTGGGAATTACAGCCCCAGTACTGAGAAAGTGATGCCTACAGGAAGACAGGCCACAAAAAAATAAACCAGAATGGTATCTCTGCTTAAGTCACCTTATATGCCTGAAAAAACCACAAAGAAAGTTAGAGTGTTCTCATTGATCTCAAAGAGCCATTGCCAACCAAAAGGACTCAAGAAGGTCTTTAGTGGCATAAAGGGTGGTCTTTGCTGCAAAGCAAATCCCGGGAATAACTACGAGTTAGCCACTCTACGTCTCAGAACTTCCACCTTCACCATGATCCCTCTTGGACTACGGACGCCTCTGACTGCCCAAGGGGCAGCATCTAGAACTTATCCTCTCCAGGTATGTCTAGTGACCAAAATTGTTCTTCTCTCCTCCCAAGCTATGAAAAATACTACTCCCTCAAGAATGGCTGGTTAGAGGCACTGATAGGAAAGCAATCTGATTGAATTATTCACATTAAGATATAAATGACTATAGCCCTAGCTCTCCCTGTGGGTGTCTTTTAAATGACACTAATTCATTCTTTTTGAAAGTGTAGCCTTTGAATCATCTGCATTAGAATCACCTGGGTGCCTGTTACAATTATGGGTTTCTGGGCCCCCGCTCCTATCAGAATCGGAATCGTTCCTGGTAGGCCCCAGGGATCTGCATTTTAAACAAGCCCCTTTGATTCCTGTGCACCTTGAAGTCTGATAACTGATGGAATGTGAAGGAGTTGATATCTTTGAGCAGAGAAGGCTTCACAGTTAAAGAACCACTTTTCACTCCAGGAGCACCCACATCAAAAAACAGGGGTGAGGGGCTTCCCTGGTGGCGCAGTGGTTGAGAGTCCACCTGCCGATGCAGGGGACATGGGTTCATGCCCCTGTCCGGGAAGATCCCACATGCCGCGGAGCGGCTAGGCCCGTGAGCCATGGCCGCTGAGCCTGCGAGTCCAGAGCCTGTGCTCCACAACGGGAGAGGCCGCAACAGTGAGAGGCCGCGTACCACAAAAAAAAAAAAAAAAAAAAAACAGGGGTGAGAAATTCCATCAACGCAATACATTTTTATACAGCAATCATCTACATTTTAACAATGCAGAAACTGGGGCTCAGAATGCTTAGGTAACTTCCCCAAGGTCACACAGCTTTTAAATGTTGCGTCTAGCACTTGAACCCCAGCAGCCTTAAGAAAGCCTCCTGAGGACTTATTTCAAATACCAAGTTATAACCCGTCTCAACCACAACTCCTCCAACTTTGCTAAGACAGGCAGCAGCACCCAAACTTGAAAGGCTGTGACGACACCCCTAAAAGGAGAGAGAGAGAGAGGAAGACAAAACCTGGCTTAGGTGTGAATTACTTAGAATGCTACACCATGCGTCAATTCTCACTGAACATTTTGGACACCAGTTTAGGCTGGCTGATGTATTATAGGTTTGCCTGAGAAGCCTCAGAACTTTGAAACTGTTCCCATTTGTGCTTTGATTACACATTCGTTCTGACTTGAAAAAGAATTATGTTTTTAGGAGCCACACACCCTCTCAGCAGCTGCTTGTAGCTGTTTCTCTCTGTAATGATTGTTTAATGACTGTTTAAGGAAGTGCTGCCTGAGGTTCTCTAATCACCCAATTTTTATTAAGCGTCAAGGAAATCACACAGGTGCAGAACTGCCTAATTGACAGGCAAGCCACGAGTTGTGCAGAGCTCCCTTCCTCCAGACGAGGAAGCGCAACGCTGAAGGCAATGTGCACCCCACCTCACCAGCAAAGGGGGAAACATAGAGGAGAATCACACTTTGGTTCCCCCAAGGGGAGCGAAAGAGGGTTCTGAGAGAAGAGACGGGAGAGAGTGATGGGGGCCGGGAATAATAGATAT